CTCTCTCGCTCCGGGCGGGGCTGGGGCTGGATTGCGCAGGCGCTGGGCGGGCTGCTCGCCGTGCGCGTGCGCCCGCCGGAAACGTCCGGACGCCGTCAGTGGGCGCCTGTGTGCGCGCGGGAAGATGGCCGAGCAGGTGACCAAGTCTGTGCTGTTCGTGTGTCTGGGTGAGACGGCGCTATTCTCTAGCCCCTCTGACTTTCCGGGAGGGCTCGGGGGTCCCTTGTGCGCTCTGGGCCGCGCCGCTGGGCCGGGAACGGTGATCCGGAGGAGGCCGGGGATGGGAGACTGAAGGGCGGGATGCGGCGCCGCGCACCTTCCCGGGCGGCTCTGCAGGCGGGGTCCCTCTCACCTGCTTAGTCCCGTCTCCAAGTCGGATCCCCTGTCACCTGCCCAGCCTCTGTGCAAGCCCGATCTCTAGCTTCTGCACAGCCCCTTCTCCAAGCCTGGGTGCCTCGCGCCTGCAGCCCTTTCACTCCAAGCCAGGGTTCTTTCCATCACACCTGCCTGGAATCCCTCCTTCCCCTGCATCAGGTAGGCCCGAGGCCGCTGGACTGATCTGTGTCTTGGGGGCCTCCTGATGCTCTGACATCCATGCCGACACCGGTTTGCCGGCTTTCCTTGGCCTATGTCCAGAAAGGGATCTGAACCAAAGGTAGATCGATCGCAGCGTTCAGGATTTCTTGGTGGTAAAAGCCACACCACGGAGATCTGGTTCCCCAGGTCGCTGTGTAACAGCCCCATGTTCCATTCCTCTACATGAAAATGAAGATATTCTTTATCTTTAATTCTTTAGGTACCTTCCAGCTCAGAATTATTTTCGTTTTTAAGATTTCAACAGTTAGCCTCCCTTACTTAAAACAGAGTTCACGTTCCCTTTAGCTTGTGGGATTCTTCCCTTGTTAGAGCACCACAGGGCTGTAGTTAATTCCCTAGGGAGGAAGGCCTAGATGGTCACTAGTCCAGTGACTGAAAAATCTTCAGATGAGCCTGCATTTCCTGCAGACTTGCATTTCTGCCCCCTTTTAGGTGTACCCTTCAAGAAGACCACAGAAGTCCACCCGGCCTCTCCCACTTTATCGCCTTGTTCGTTCCCCACCCATGCCCTCTGGGGCACCTGCCCCCCAGCACGTGAGATGCTTGTTGTGCCTTCCGTTGTGTGCTGCTTCCTGGGCGCCCAGGAGCCCATGTTGCATTTTGCCTGGAAAGCTTTTCTAGAAGGTCAGGCCGGAGTATTCCCTTTTTCAGTTTTCCCTGATCCTGCAGGTGGAGGTAGTTGTTCCTATGACCTTTCATAGACACCTTTCCTCACACAAGTTTTATTGTAATTACTTGATACCCTCTTGAGATCATAGCTAGATTTAGCCCTCTTGAGGGCCTATCTTCCTTTGTATTTCCAGCTTTAGGACAAATACGATAATCACTAGGTATTTGTGTTGAATTTCTGTGAAGGGACAAGTGGAAAGCCTCCTTGTTTCCCTTTGACAGTGGGCATCATTTGTTTTTTAAGCTCTCCATTGAAGGCTGGCTGATGGAATCAACAGAGTTACCAAAGGGCAGTTCGGGTCAGTTTGGGCGTCTAGTAGAATTCCATGGCCCTGTTTATTTCTCTTAGAATTGGTGGTTAGGCTGACACTGCACCGTGGCAGCTCTTCATGAGAAACGTTTGCTGGTATGTATTTGTGGAAGTATTTGTCTTCAATACAGTTTTTTTTTTAAAGCAACTACCGTTTACCAGGCACTGTTCTGGGTGTGGGGATACACTAGTGACAGAAATCCCTGCCTCTCTCGAGCCCACGTTCTGTCAACAGTCATGTGCTTGGTTACTCTGTCACCTGCCCAGCCTCTGTGCAAGCCCGACCTCTTCTCCAAGCCTGGGTGCCTCGCGGCTGCACCCCTTTCCCTCCAAGCCAGGGTTCTTTCCATCACACCTGCCTGGAATCCCTCAGGTGGATTGTATTAAGGACAATTAAGGCAAGACAGGGGGTGGCAGTGGAGTGCAGTTTTAAGCAGAGTATTCAGAGAGGGCCTTACTGAAAAGGTGACATTTGAACAAAGGCTTGGTAGCGATGAGGAAGCAGGCATAGGGTACTTTGGAAAAGTGTCCTGGACCCCGAGGAAAGCAGGTGAAAGGTTTTGGAGTGAGAGTGCTGGCCGTGTTGGAGAACTGGCAGGGAAGCCACAGAGCTGAGCCTGTGACCTGGTACCTTCTCAGAGCCTCCTCTGTACCTGAGGACTCGGAGATAATGTGAGGGACTGTTTTCTTGGTGCCCAGCGGGTGCATGTCACACCGCTCTTGGTGCAGAGAGAAGTTACTTCCTCACACACAGTGACTGTTCTGGGGCCGGAGTCCACAGACTCTTTATGTGAAAGCCAGAGGACAAGTATTTTGTGCTCTGCAGGTCGTACAAAGGGTGTGGTGCTAAAGCAGCTTAGCCAGTACTTATGCTGGGCTGTAATCGTTTATTTATGGACCCCGGGATTTGAATTCCATATAATTTTCTCATGTCACAAGATATTCTACTTTTGAGTTTTTTCAGTTGATCCTAAAAATGTAAGTTATTTTTAGCATTGAGAACTGTACTCAGAGGTGGTGGTAGTGAGCCCTTGTCTTGGACCCAAGTTTAGGGCCTTCGGAGGGCAGATCCGGTGAGGCCATGTGAGAACTTGGGCTCACTTAGAACCAGTTAAGCCACTGGAGGATTTTGAGAAGAGGTGGGGGGGTTAAACAGAAGCGTTCAGCTGTTGTGTTGAGATAAGACTGAGGAGGGGCGAGGAGGGAGACCAGCCTGAAGAGAGAGCCTGTGTGTTGGACCAGAGTCTCGCTGGTGGAGGTGGTGAGATGTGGTCCTGGGGAGACTGAGGAAGTCGCTGTGTGACATTTCAGGTGGTAGCCAGTGTGCTGGGCAGTAAGAACAGTGTATTTATGAAATGTAAAAGTTTTATTCCTTCAAAGCATTTATTTGGACGTTTTTCAGACTGAAGTGCAGGCAGGTGTCAGATGTATTCTGTTGGTGAGGGTAATGGCAGGAGAGAAGGAACTGCCCCTTATTTTGGCAAGATTATTAAGAGTGTTTTAAGTTTTTGGAGATAAGAGACGGACTGGAGAACGTGTGTTGTTAGTTGTGGCACAGCCAGCCTGCTTGGAGAAAATGCTGGGTCAGTGGTGTCAGATGACCTTTTTCCTCTGGTTACTCAGTACCTGAGAGTGTTATGTGTGCTGGTCTGGGCGTCAGGTGCTGTGCTGGGTGGGACAGACAGAGCCATACCCTTGGAGAATTTCCTTCCTTGAGATGAAGGTGGTGACTAAGACCATGTATTAATTCGGAAAAAAACAAACTTGAGGCTTCTCAGATTGAATCTTTTTCCTAAAGAAATCTGAAGGTGACATTTAAGTTTTTAGAACTTCTCCATTGGGGAAACCTGCAGTATTGTCTTTTATGGATGTGCCCTGTTTTAAAATAACACATTAATTTGGTGATGTCAGCTTTTGAAATCAAGAGGTCCAGTTACAAGCAGGCAGGGTTTCTTATCTTTTGATCTTATAGATAGTATAATCTTTTATCTTTATCTCTAATCTTTGTAGTAGTAATCTCTTCCGTACCCTTATCACACATCTTCTTGCTGTAAATATGACTGTCTAGGAAAAAAGTAAGTTTGGATGAACATGCCTGAACTTTAAGGCAGTAAATAGTCCAAATTTTTGTTTTGTTATGGGAATGCATTTGTATTATACTTAATAACTATTTGTAAGGGGTGAAGCTAGTCTTTTTATTGTATCTTTAGATGCTGAGATATTAGGCATCTACTACTCTGCAGTTCCAAATAATAAAAACTGGCTTAATTTGGAATAGAGTGCTGTTCAAGGTAGCCCTGGACATACGGTGACAAGTATAGTGACCACGCATCTGTAGGAAGACTGATTAATCAAAGTAGTGGTGATAGTACCTGACTTACAAACTAACAGAATTAGAATGTGGAAAAGGAAGGCTTCACAGCACAAACCAGCTTACAGAGGGCATGTAATTCCTTTCATGGTTGGGCAGCTGAGGGAAACCAGTCTCTGTGGGAAGGATGTGCTTTATAATAAGTGCATCATCAGACCAGGATAGTGTAGAAACTGAAGAACATCAGACTGAAGCTGTTTTCCTTGCAGTAGGGAATTAGTCGTGTTTAACAGCACCTCAGAAAATCCAGATTCCACGTGTGTGTCATGAACCAGAAGATTCTGATGTCAGGAGAGTGAGGTCTGTCCTCTGGGCCGCGGGTCCCAGGCTCCCTCCCCTCACTTCCGGGTACCACCTCCTGAGTCCTGTCCTGTCTGTGGCCTCCCTCTGCGGCCTTGGAGGGAGGCCGGCTGTCCACCTCTAGTCTCAAGTCTTAATGTTTCCTCGGCCTTGCAGTCATTTTCCTCACTTGTGCCTTGATCAGCTCTGGTGCCGTGCACAGTAGCAGGTGTGCAGAATATGTGTGTGAAGGGAATCCCGTTACTTCTCCTCCCCAGACCTTCTGCTTCTTCCCGCTGTGGGTGCTAAGCCCACATCGTGGGCCCACGGCTCCCACTCACTCGATCTCCACCCGAAGCAGCCTCGCCCATGTGTTCATACAGTCCCGCCCAGGTTTTAATGCCTTTTCCCTGGCTCTGCCTGATAAGGTCCTCTTAACCCTTTAAAGATCAGCCTTAACCATTCTTTCTTTTTCCCTTATAGGAAATTTTCTTATTATCTTCTTTGTGCTTGTCCTGTGTTCCTATAGAATATTGCTTGTCTGTCAGCATTTATTTCCTTGTTTTTATGATAGCTGACTCCATGTCTCCCGTAAATGCATTGCTTGTGGTGGAAATATTTTGAGAGAAGACTTTATGTCTTTATATCTTTTTCCCTGTGTAGTAAGGAGCTTGGCCCCATCAGGTGGAAGCTCGGGCCTTTGTCCTGGCTTCTGGGAGCTGACCTCCAAACCCCTTGGAACTCCCTTGGAGCAGCAGGAGTATCTGGGTGCTCAGGGGAGGCCCTACCTGGTGTGTGCCGAGGAGGTAACCTGGGTGGGGGCCGTGAGCCACCCACGGGAGAGAAGGGGCTGGACACTGACCTCAGTCACTTGTGCTTACTTATGAAATCCCAGGAGCCCTGGCACTGGTGCTTCAGTGGCATTCTGGATTGCAGGGCTCTGAGTGTGCTCACACATGGGTGATGGGAGGGTGACGTGTCCCTGAGGACCAGAGAGTTCCATGTTTGGAACTCTTCTAGAATCTTTGCACGCTCTTTAACTTTGGCAGGTTCTGCTCTGTATATTTTTGTAATAATAAAGCTATGATCATAAACATAGCACTTTCCTGGGTTCTGCAGTCCTTCTAGAGAACTGTTGATCCTGTGAGGACCCCCGCATTTGTGGCCAGCTGGTTTGAAGTGAGGAGGGCCCTGGGGCTCCGTGAAATTGCAGCCGATGATATAAGTTCTGGGCAGATTGGACAGCCTGGAGGACCGTCCCTGCCCCAGCTGGCTGACTCCTGGGTCCACAGCACTCAAGCAGGGGCTTCGTGCAGATCATGTGGTAGAAGTTTGTGTAGAAGGACTACTGTTCTGCCTCAGTGCATTTGCTTGTGTATTTTATGAAACAATATTCATCTTTATTATGTGCCGTATACATGAGAAAACATATTTTTAAGTCTTTTTTGTTGTATTGCATTTTAAAATGGACTGGCTGCAGTCCACTTCATGGATTTCATGACTCACTTCTGGGTCAGTGAGGCAACCTGAGAAACAACAGCTTTGGTTGTACTTGTTTGAAGTCTCTGTCATTTGTACTTGGAGTGCTTGGACAGTGGGTGTGAAACCGCTGAGCAAAGTTTAGTCACCTGTTCCCAGGTCCACTATGCCTGGCAGGACCGTCACCTCCAAGAAGAGTGTTTGCCTCACTTCCCTCGCTGTCCTCGGGTGTGTGGACTCAGCACTGCCCTTCCCTCAGACCTGACGCTCACTCTCTGCCCCTGTCCCCCCTTTTTAAGGTAACATTTGTCGATCACCCATCGCGGAAGCGGTTTTCAGGAAACTTGTAACTGATCAAAACGTTTCAGATAAGGTAAGTACTTTTCACTGTCTTAAAGAGGCCGACCTGAATGTCTCTGGGGCAGGAAATTGTGAAAAAGTTCTCTTTTCTCCTGCAGTGGAGGATAGACAGTGCGGCGACGTCCACATATGAAATAGGAAACCCTCCTGATCACCGGGGGCAGGCTTGCTTGAAGAAGCACGGGGTCCCAATGAACCACGTGGCCCGGCAGGTACCGCACTGGAACTTGAAGGTGCACTTGTGTGTTTTGTGTTGCAGTGGGTCATTGACAGCGGCGCTGTTTCTGACTGGAACGTGGGCCGGTCACCAGATGCAAGAGCTGTGAGCTGCCTAAGAAATCATGGCATTAACACAGCCCATAAAGCAAGACAGGTAGAGGAGAACTCATTTAATTTCTAGAATGCTGATCCCATATGCTGAGAAGTTGTGAGGGGCTTCACCAGACTTATGTATAATGAGGGTGTTTGGGGTTGGCCTCACCGGCCACAGCGCTCCCATTCTGGTTCCACACTTCTGAAAGATTTGCATGGTCCTGGAATTGACTTATTAGAATGCCTCGTGGACAGACCCCTGGCCATGAGCTGGAAGGCTTGAGTTGCAGTCGCCTCCTCCTGTCTGTCTGTGGTCTCAGCCTTTACGCCATGGTGGCTGGCCTGTCCCCCTTATAGGAGCGCCGCTACAGTGCAGTTCTGTTACAAAGACAAGGACATTTCAGCTTCACAGTGCCTTAGGAATCCAGGCCAGCACCGCTGTTACTGTGGCTGCATGTCCTGCTGTGGGAGCACTTCTGGATTTAGGCTCTGGAGTGCGCCCGGCAGAGCGTCCTGGGCTGAGGGCCATGCACCTTATCTGCTCTCCCCAGTGTGGACGCCACCAGCTACGTGCAGCTCTTGCACGTTTGAGAGACGTCCAGTGAGGAGGGGGGCAGAGGCAGCTGCATTCTAAATTTTAACTAAATAGCCATTTGGTCTGGTGGGCACCTCATTGGGCTGTAGGGTCCTAGACTCAGGAAGAACCACAGCAGGCTGAGGCTTTCGTGGCAGCATTTGTGGTGGGACATCAGGGTGGTGGGCGGGCACATCCGGGCCCCTCTAGGAGCCAGTGGTAGGTGTGTGTGCTGGGACCCACTGGCCATAATCACAGGGACCGGCTTCTAAAGAGATTGGCTTCCTTTCGATACTAAGTGCCCAGCATGTTGTTCTGCAGGGACTCTTATTTTTATCAGTATGATGATGCTTTTATGGAGATTCAGTTGGATTTTTAAAAAAAAAACTAGCTAAAATTTTCTCATTTCCTTTTGTGTGCATCCTCATGAAGCGTGTGGCTCTGCAGGCCAAGAAGGGCTGTGGCTGGGTGTCAGCAGCAGGAGGCGGTGCAGCGGGGAGCCGGGCATGCTGAGCGCGGTTGTCAGATGAACCGCATGTTTCTGGGTGGTTTATTGATCGTGCGTGAATCAGAGCCCCCGTGAGACTGGGTGAAGATTCCTCTGTGAGTGCTGCACCAAGTCTCACCTCTGTTTAACCTTCGCAGGTCGCTTTGTCCCCGCGTCGCGTTTTACATTTTGATCGCCTCTCTTTGTTCTTGTCTTACCTCATTACGGAAGGGAGTAGTTGGTAAACCCATCTCGCAGATCAAGAAACAGCTCTGGAGAGAAAATGAATGACTTGTTGACGATTACCCAGCTGCCAAGTGGTAGAACTGGAATTTAGTTGCAGGTTTATTTGTTTTAATAAAAAACATCTAGACGTGTGAGCCAAATTCACAAAATTACCATAGAAACACTTCCAATACATTAATGGTGTCTCAGGAATAGTAACACACACATTATTCGTGGCTTAGATAACTTTACTCTGAGACCTGTAAACTTCTGATTTTTGGTTCTGTCAGTAGATGCTGCTTGTTGTTAACAAGTTACTATTTAAATGAACTGTTTTAAGGACCTGGTCTTTTCTCAAATGGAATTTACATTGGGGGGATTAAACATTTTTTTATATCATTTGTCCATTCTAATCTCTTCAGGATTTTATATACCTTGCCAATCTCTACTTTCTGTTTTTTAAGTAATGTAGATTTTTTTGAGCAGTCCTTCAGAAATATGTTCAATCATACTTTCATGTTTTCTGTTTTAAAATCATTTTTCATACACAAAGTATACATAATAAAAGTGGATACAAATGAAATATTTTAAATACACATGCCTTTAAAAAAAACAAAGCTAGAAACTTTTTCATTTTTTAAGAACACAAGTAATTACCAGTTTTAGAAGTAGTATTTCCAGATTTTGTTTTCTTTTCCCTGTTGCTTTTAAGAAAGTTTTCTCAACAATGATTTTTTAAAAAATTTCCGAGTCCTAGTAAGATACTAGGTCCTAGTTTTATACATCAGTATCATGTCAGAGTATTGTTATTTTTTTAAGCATCTTTCTAATGTTTGCAGTTTCCTCTTCAGCGAGTGTCACAATTTGAGAACCATTTGTAGTATTTCTGTCAAACCCGGGGTTTAACAAATAAAATACATTTAGGGTGTCTTTTTCCCTTTAACCCATGTAACCAGTTTTCTGGAGTTTGAACACTCACATCTGGTTGGTTCTCTGGGGACGTTTACTTTCTTGTACATCCTCACCCCTTTCCGTAAACTCTGTTGGGCGCGTATGCAGATTGTCAGTGCTCTCTGGACATTTTCCAGAGGGGCAGCACCGTGGCGTCTGCTCCAGGGCTCAGCGCTAAAACTGCCTCCCCCTACTGTGACAGCAGGGAAGCCCTGTAGTGGCCATCTTTCTGTCCTGTTTCTCCTTTGTGAGAGTCTCCAGTCATCTTCATTTATGGATTCAGTATTGTTTTACTGTCATGCTACAGTCGATTTGTCAGTTCCACTCTGACGAACACTTGGGTCATTAGTAGTCTGGGGCTGAATGCCACTGTGAATATTTTTGTATGTGTGCAGTTCTGTTGGGCACATACCTGGTGTCACACACTGTCAGGTGTACGCACACCCAGCATCACACACTGTCAGAGTGGAGCAGCCTCATAAGACAAGTTGGCTAATGCTCCTTTTTCTTTTCTCTTAAAAAAGTTGTCAAACAATGATAGTATTTCTGTTTTAATCTTTTGGAAGGGTTCATCTAATACATTGTTTTTTTGTTGTTTCCTGCAGTTCCTGTCATTTTCTCCTGGTGTCTTTCATTTTTCTTTGTGGGGTCAACTCTGTTTCCTGAGTTTGTGTCTTGATGGTTTTCATCGGTGCTGGAAAACTCTGGGCTATTGTCTTTGTATATTTTCCCTCCTCTCATTCTGCTGAGACTCAACCTGAATGTATTTGGAATGTGAATTCCCTGTGCTTTTTCTCCTTTCTCCACACCTTTCACTGGTTTTCAGTCTGAAATCTTCTACTGACCTCTTTCCTGATATACTTGTCTTTCTGATGTTTTCAAGTCCGTAAGCCTCTGTTTATTGAATATTTAGTGTCTATTATTTTATTAATTCTTCAAGTTTTATATATTTTTATTGATTCCAATTTTCTGGTGAAATTCTACAAGGTGCCGTATATTTCTTGAACAATACAGATGGCAGTTATTTTACAGTAAGTCTGGTAACTAATGCCTGGGGCATCCTGGAGCCTCCTTCCCTCCCCTTTTTTCTTTTCTTCTTTATGTCATTGCTTGGTAAGTGTGCTCGTTTGGATTAAATGCTGTACTTGATGTATTAAAAACGTAGAAGTCTGGATGGTGGCCCTTTGCCCCATGGGGAGGGGAATTGGTTTGGAGCTGACTTGGAACTGGTCCTGCCCTGGAGGGCGGGGCTGTGCTGGGTGGGCCTCTTGGGTGAGGCATCCGCACAAGGGGTTCCTGCTGCCGCCTTGCCCTCCCCGGGCCTGGGGCCATCCGCTCGTTCTCTTGACTTCTCGCGCAGGGTAGCTGAAGAGGACTTGGGGGTGCCAGGCTCACTTCTCCCAGGGCTCTGCCTCCAGCTTCTCCAGCCCGGGCGGTCAGCATGGTCCTCGTGCGTCTGCCTCTGTCAGCGGCTCGCTGCCCAGCACCCCTGTCCTCCTCACCCTGCCCATCACAGCTAACCGCCCCGCATGAGAGTCTAGAGCACAGTCCCTAGAGTGGGGTCCAGGGACCTTGGGCCCATGAGACCAAAGTGCGAGGAAGGGCTCTGATCAAAGGGTCAGGCTGACCATGGCCGCGGCAGAGCGGGTAAAGCTGACTGGTGCGAGCTCACGTTCTGTGTTGCCAGGAACCTGCGAGCAGCCACCACTGAGTGGGCTTTGGTGGTGTGGCGGAGAGCGTCCGCCGCCGTCCACCACTGTCCACCACAGCTGTTCCCTGCTGGTCAGCCCGCCACTTGTGTGAGGCTGGGCTGGAGGGGGTCTCCACAGCTCAGAGCCCAGGTGCGTGGGAGGCCGGCTGTCTCTCAGGAAGTAGATGCTCCGTGAAGAGATTTGCACAAATGTGAAACAGTCCACTCTCCTCCATGAGTTCCAGTTTGGAGAGTATAGCTGTTTTTCCTTTAAAAAAGATGTAATAGTGGGTAATGCATTTTCATTATTTTTCAGTGAATAATAGATTTTTAAAATTTTCAGGTTTTAATAGCTTTGGTAAATTTCGGTAGATAAAACAAGTTGTTTATAGGGACGGCCTAAATAACCTTTAAAGAGTTAAAAATTTCTTCAGCCCAGAAGCTTGAGGGCTCTCCTCCGAGTTCTCGCCAGCGGCCCTCCCAGGCGGCCAGTCTTGTCCGCAGCAGTGGTGGGGGCACTGGGTGGGGCTTGGCCCGCGGAGGGTCCCCATCCGTGCACCCTGCCCTGTGCACGCGGTTGGGGTTTTGGCCTTTCTGAGCCTGGCTGTCATGGGAGCCTGTCGGTGACTCTGCAGAGGTGTTTAGATTTGATAGGCATTTTCTAGTTTTTTCTGGCAGTAGGTTTGTTTTGCTACAGGTTATTTCATTTATAGCTGCAAGCGGAAATCCTTTACCATGCATTCTTCCTAAGATGTTAATTTTAGCTGTTCCTCCTCTTTCTCAGTTATTTTAACATTAATCATCATGTAGCTACATGTGGCTGTCAGTGACTAAGTCTGTCTTTCCTAGATTCTGTGACTGCAGTCATTCCAAAATTGAGGAGAATGTTTAATATTTAATCCCAGGACATTTCTCATACAGCTAATTTGGGGAAATAGCTTCTGATATTTGTTGTAGTAGATCTTGAAATAAGCTAGCACCTTGGGAGTGTGAGCAGAATTCAGTCCCAGCACTTGATTAAGGTGCTGCCCTGAACATCAGTGCAGGTGCACACGGAGAGTCCAGACCTATGCTTCCCAGCAGGATAACGAGGGTATTGTTGTCTCTTTGCTGCACTGATTAGAGGGTCATGACTCTGTTTAACCAGGTTTTCAGTGTCTTCTTTGTAGTTTCACCGTACAGCTATATTTTAGAGGGCTTTTTAGTGAGGAAGATAATTATTGGAATTGCATTCTCAGAAACTATTTTCACCTTTGTTTTGTGGCATATTTGTCCCTTTCTTATTCTGTCATTATAATAGTCAAAAATCGTAAAATAGTTTTTCATTTATATTTTAGTGGTTTGTATTTATAAATTACGACAGCAAACAATGACAAGGTTTAGGTTAGAATCAGTAAAAATATTCAGTGTCTTGTTTACCTTATGGAATTCATGCAGAATAAAGACCCAGACACTCAGCTCTTCATGTGTTTCCTTCTGGGTGGCTCTCCCCAAGCCCCACTGAAGATTTCCTCTCTCTCTCCCCAGCACTCTTCCCCTTCTCCGCTGCACTTCTCTGTGGGGCGCTGTCGCCCCTGAGCCGCCACCCTGCGTGGGAGGGACGGCCGTCTGTCCTCCAGCTGGTGCACATCCCAGGGGCAGGAGGGGGTTACGTGCTTGCAGAATGAAAACCGGGGCAAAACCTTGAAGGCTGTTTCTGAAGTTGAAGATGAAGTGTAAACTTTGTATTCACACATTACACTATTTCATGATTATTCCAAGGAACTTTATAAAATTTCTCTGCGGTAGTTTTAGGAAATTAGGCTAACTGTAATGTTAGCTTAAGAGTACCTAAGTGATTTAATTTAATTAGTAACAGATTTCAGTATAGCTTTTGTTTTTTAACCTAAAGTTCTGTTTTAGGTCCTCTAGGCTTAATTGGTCTAACTGTAAACATTACGTTTGATTTCTCGCTTACTTTCAGGTTACCAGAGAAGACTTTGTCACCTTTGATTATATACTCTGTATGGATGAGAGCAACCTGAGGTAATCACACTTTTAAAGGGTGTTTCTGTTCAACTGGATTCAGTAATGGGCCAAGCAGTCGTTGTCCAAACTGACGTTTTAAAATTACTTTAAAGTTTTGATACATAGTGAAGGTCATAATACACAGAATTATTTATTTAGAATAGAAGGAAATCCAGAGAGTAATGTAGAGTTGTGTCATGGGTATGTTTTGCCAGACACACCTTTGGCGAGGGGGAGTCTGATTATATAAGGTGACGTTTTGTTTCACAGGAGAATGAGTTTGTTGCTGTTATAAGGATCTGTGGACAGTGTGGTGTTTTATTGTGTTTCTCATCTTACTCCCCATTACTGCTGCCCTGCCCCCAACCCCAGAAGAAAGACTGACAACAAAGACAACTTTACTCTATTTAAATTCTTGATTGCCTCCATTGATTTAAGAAACACCACCTGTCAGACTAAGGTGTTAGGTGCAGATGGCTGTGGTGAGCAGTGTCCTGTGCTCGCACACTGGAGCGCTCATCCTGAAGGTTTGCACTGTTGCTGCGTCTTATCAGAGGAATTTGAGGCACAGAGACGTTAAGTTACTGGCCCAAGTCCACAGACTCAGAGGCGGGTGTGGTGGAGTTGCGTTCCCCGCTCTGTGAGGCCCGTGAATCACACCCCGGGCCCTGTCGCCTGCACGTGCATTTGACCTGGGAGGATGCAAATTTGGGCAGCAGGGCACTGGTGGCATTTCTGCAGCCGTGCACCTGGCGTGGTGACAGCGAGGAGGCACTTTCCTGACTCTGGTGTGGGCTCCCCTGTACTAACATTCACCCTAACAGAGAAATAGTGTAGCACGGTGTGCCTGCCAGACAAGTGAATACAACGTGTCTCACAGATTTAGAAGCAGACTGGGTGGGGTTTCGTGACCAAAGGGAATATGCAACCCTGTTCCCCTGTAAGATGGGCCTTGTGCTGTGGTCACGTGATAGATCTTGCCGGGTGAGATGCTGGGACCGGGCCTGCAGCCCCTAGGAGCTGGGGTTGGGGGAGCAGGGGACAGTGACATGCTTCACTGCTGATCCAAAAGTACTGCATGTGTTTGATTAGGAGAAACTCCTTCTGATCACCGTTGCAGGCTGGGCAGACACAGATGCAACAGGCTTACCTGGGTTTTCAGTAGAATATATAAACTTTCCATTTTTGTTTTCCAGTTTGTTTTGTTCTCATTTTTTCTCAGAATAGCTTATCGGCATTATCAGCAATAACTTGTTAGGGGACTCTGTGTGGTACTCTGTTCATTAAATTCCTAAACATGGTTGGCATTCGGTGGTGCAGCCCAGTCAGCCCTGCTCCCATCTGCCCCCCAGGGTTCAGCCTAGGTCGCTTCTCAGGGAGGGGTCTGCTCCAAGGCCTCGCAGGTTTCCGGGTGGACGCTCACATCCACCACTCCAGCTTCTCACAGGGATTTGTTAACGAAACACAGGAACAGTGGGCTCAGCGAGAAAGCTGAGGTGCCGCGTCCAGTAGTGGGAGCAAGGGAGGAGCGTCCACAGTGGGCGGCACGGCGGGCTTACTGCAGGAACGGCTGCGTCAGGTGGAGCCTGCCGCCCTCTGGGACATGGTTCTCATGGCCTTTTGAGTTCCACTGTGTCTCCTTTGTTCAGTTTCTGAGACAGGATGTTCTTGAACCTGCACTTCACGGGAGGATATGTAACTACCGTTGTCGTAAAGCTGCACCTTCTGTGTAGAAGGTGTGAGAGTCACTGCTGTCCCCAGCTCCTTTGCTGGAGACACGGAGCCTAGTGACTGCAGCTCCCTGGAAGGCCGTCCTGTGCTGCTGAGTGTTTGATTTCCTATTTAAATCAAGTTCCTTTTGCTGGATTTTGATCTGGAGACTTCACAAGACCCTAACAGATGTCCCAGTTTAACTTTAAACCATAGGTCAGAAAACTAAGTTCATGTTTCAATTTTACAGAGATTTGAATAGAAAAAGTAATCAAGTTAAAAACTGCAAAGCAAAAATAGAACTGCTTGGGAGCTACGACCCACAGAAGCAGCTGATTATCGAAGACCCCTATTACGTAAGTGCGGCCCTCACCCCGTCCTGCCGTCTGGGCGCCCGGCCGTCGGACGTCAGAGCGAGGCTGTCGGAAGGGCATTTCTCTTGGGCTGCTTTTGTTACATTTTCTTTTCCCTGTCCTTCTAGGGCAACGACTCTGACTTCGAGACCGTCTACCAGCAGTGTCTGAGGTGCTGCAGGGCCTTCCTGGAGAAGGTTCACTGACCGGTTCTGCTCCTGCGGGTCCCAGGCTCGTCCCCCGCCTGCAGTCCCAGCTACATGTCACCGTGTAACCGTGCCGCTGGCTCAAGGCCACAGCCCTTCTTCCTTCAGTTGACTTTCTTACCTTAAAAAATAATTGTAGATGAAAATCAGTTGTTGTGTTTGGTGGAAAAATAAATAAAAATTTCTGATTCAGACAGTTCATTGGGTAAGTGTTGGACTAGCTGGACCTCCGCTCACCCTAGTTGTAGAAATACTAGGGCAGATGGAACAGTGGAAAACAAACCACAGTGAAGTCCAGCGTTGCTTTAAGGCCCCGGTCAGCATCAGAGCCAGAGGGCCTTGAGGTCACCCGCACTCCTTCTCCCTGTGTGGACGGAAGCCAGGGCCTGGCGTGGGAGGAGCACAGCCACGGCGAGGCGCTCGTTCACATGCCTGAGCACTCACCCGCACCCTCGGGTCAGGAGAGGAACCCTGGTGGGAGCGACCTCGCAGCGCTCCTCCTTCGTAGCTTGTGTCTAGTTAAGCCCGTGAGGAGATTCAGCTTGTTCCCGTTTGAACCACGTTGCCTCTGGGAATTCGACTGTATCGGGAAGAAGGACACTTGTGTGCTGGTTTAGCTTATGGTCAGTTTGAGAAATACGTCTGCTTTTATATGCAGGTGGGAAAAACAGTAAGTTAGGAAAGGTTCTTTTACGTTGGAATGCTTGAATATGGAGATGTTAAGAGTTTTTTTTATCAGTGCTTAGTTTATAGGCAAATACAGGTAATTTCCATGCACTTCTGTGAAATAACTAAAATCCTCATGGATGATGTCAGAGAAGATTGTTTTCAGAGTAAACTGGGGAAATCATAAAAGCGCAGCTAAGATATAGGTCTGGTGCCTCCCCGTTTTCTTCCTGGCAGGTGGAGAGGAGTCAGAACCACTGCCTTCACTGTCCTCTGGACGACGTGTGACGTGTGCCGTCCACACGTGGGAAGGAGTGGGGGTGCTGTGCACGCGGAGGCGCGTGGCTTCCATGGCAGTGACGTCCACTCCTGGGAGAGGCGACGGACCCGTGGCCTCAGTGTCCCTGCCTCCCCCATCTGCAGCAGAGGGCGGGCACTACTCCTTGAAGCCGGCACCCCAGGTCAGGCCCAGGGAGGAGATGAGTGGCAGCTCTCCTCCACTTCTGTCTTCGTCTCAGTCATGGTTGGTGACCCGAGTCCTGGGAGGCCCCCGAGTCACACGTCAGTCTGAGTGGACAGGCGCTGGGATGCAGGGAGGCCAGAGGGTTGGCGTCCGGTCCTCAGTATCACGAGGTCCCAGGTGGGGGCTGTGTCTCCTGAAGCCGTGTGGCCCTGGGGGAGAAGCCTGCAGCCCCGCACCAGGCACCGGGGGCCGTGGGGCGGACACAGGGTCAGGGTGAGGAGAGGCTGTGCGGGCGTCTGCTCTGTGAGGGCCTTAACCGCTGCGCCACAGGACAGCAGGGACTTGAGAGACTACAGAGATTGAATTTAATAATGGTCGCCCTAAAAAGTAAAGATTGAGAAAAACGTTTGATTGTAGTTAGAAAACAGGACTGAGTAAGCACCTCAGAAGTGATCCCCTCGCGCCCTCACCCTTCAGTGACTGCTAATAGTCTCCAAGTGAAGACGTTTCTTCCTCTCCTGTGTTCCTGTATGTTCCTGGGTAAACCTCTGTCGTTTGCTCTCTTTAATGTTTACAGGTGTGTGTTAAATATGGATCCTCAGACAAATGCTAGGACCCTCAAGTCAACTGTCCTGATGGCTGTGCCCAGACCAGGGGCCACGTGAACAGAGAAACTCATTGCTGAATTCACTTGTCTTTTAACAGATCCAGTAAGATTTGTTCAAAATACATCAAAATGACTGTAAAAATCAGGGGCTGCTTAGAAGCCTCAAGGTCCCTCTTAGTTTAGTGTTTCCATTACAGTCATACAGGAAATATGGCTGCAACCTTGTTTGAAATACTCGCCACCAAGTCAGGTTCTGTCATAAGTATGTTGCCAATGTGTGGGGCCGCTCTCTTAAAAAATGCTAACGTGTTTGTCCCGCACAGGAACCCGTAGCCTTCCTGTTTTATGTGTTTACACCCTTCGTGTCCTGTGACGTTCTGCCAGTATTTCGGTCTCTTTGCAGATTTGTAAATCATGAATTCCTAGCAGTGAACTTGCTCGGAAGTCAAGAGTCACTGTGAAGACTTCATTATAACAAACACCGTATTACCTGGGTTTATTCACAGTATTTACATATTGCACAGTATCTGGACACTATTTTACATTTATTACACAAAGGACAAATGAAATTAGCCTGGATATGTTCACAGATTTACTCTCCAATGTCTCCACAACTGAAGTTCGTTTGTTCTTTTTTTTTTTAAATTTTTCATGCAGTTCCAAATAACACTCTGGGAATTTAATTGTAAAAGTAAAAAATATTAAATAATACCATATGCTATATGAAAATATAGTTTCAGATTCTGCTGATCCTGCTTATGTTTCTAAAGAAATACTTGTGATGTCGTCTAATCAGGAAAATGAGATCTCTCTCTGCCGTTCCACCGCGCGACGCTTCAAGTGTTCCTGTTTCTTAAAATGGCGAGTGGCGACTTTTACTGTCAGGTACACCGATTCACTGCACGTGTGTCCACAGACAGTCAGCAACATACAAAACTCAGTGAAGGAATGTGGGAGAGTCAGTCTGCAAAAATAATCCTCTTGTTCACGGGTGTTCACGAAGGTAGCAGGTCGCCTCCTGCTGGTGTCCATGAAGGTAGCAGGTTGCCTCCTGCTGGTGTCCAAGGCACTTCTCGTGGTTCCTGGGCTGCCGCTCCTTTGCACCTCTGCTCACTGCTGGAAACAAACACATGCGGTTTTGTAGAACGGTTCACACTCGTCGATCCTGGAAGACTGAATTATATGTAGCATAATGTGTTTATAAAGAATGGGAATCTCGGTCTGCACGTGTTTCTCTGTGTTTGGAAAAGTGTGGTCTATGTTGCTGTGGAAAGAGCTTGGTCCTACGGTTGCTGTGGGCCTGTGTGCCAGAGGGCTTAGTGGTGATGTGTGGCTGTCACGTTCTCGATAGTTCCATCTTGTTGATTTGTGGCCATCTTGGGCTTTTCAGATTTGGCTGCATTTTGTAGAATGGGCTGGGTACCTGTTACTCAAAACTCTGTTTCTCTGAAAATATTCCAGAGCTCAGGCTTTTAACTTACCTGAGGGGCAAGTCCTGATAATGAGTGTGTGTGTGAGGACATCCTGCCCTGTGGGAGGGTGGCTGGGAGCCTACAGCTCCTCTGGCTGGAGAAGCAGCAGTTAGTGAGCTTCAGAAAGAGGCAGCAGAGGATTCTGCTGTGAGATCACAGGTGCGGAGGGCCCCTGTGCTCGGACCCGCTGAAGGCCTACTTCTTCCAGACAGCCTTTAAGAAGCTGAGGTCATTAAGAACCTGTGTTCATCAGCAGAGGAACAGATGAAGATGTGTGTGTGTATGAGGAACACTACTCAGCTATTAAAAGGAATGAAGTTTTGCCATTTGCAACAACATGAACTGTCTTGGAGAGTATTATGCTAAGCGGAGTAAGACAGACAAATGCTGTGTGACATCACTTACGTGTGCAATCTAAAAAATAAACCAGTGACTATCGAAAAAGAAACAGACTCACAGATAAAGAGAGTGGTTACCGGTGGAGAGAGGGCGGGGGCAAGATGAGAGGTGCAGACTACTTTGTATAAAATAAATAAACTGCAGGAGTATGTTGTACAAAGCAGGGGACACAGCCAGTATTTCATAACTACAAATGGAGCATAACCTTTAAAACTGAATCACTGTTGTACACCTGAAACATGCTGTACATTGACTATACCTCAATTAAAACATTTTTTTCATTTATAGCATCCTGTAGATTAAAAAAAAAAAGTTGAGTCATGATCTGGAGTAGGAAGAGGCGCCTTGTTCTGCAGCTCTGTCCTGACGTCTTCAGGATGACAATGCAGCAGCAAGGTGTTTGGCCACACAAGGAAATGCCACTGCCCTGCACTTCAGGGCACACAGAGACCCTTGACTGCATCGTCATCAACCAGCTAAGAGCTCGCTGTTACACCTTAGAACTGGAACGGGAAGAAATGAATCTTTTAAAATGTTATGAAATTATTTTAGCAGAAATACCTTTTTTAAAAACTACCTGTTTCTTAGCCAAAATGAACACGATCACTGAGTTGTGACAAGTGTGATGCTGAGCATGGCGCCCTTCTGAGAGTGGACACCTAGGGGCACACACCTTGATCCTTCTGTCTTTCACAGAATGTCTCTATGTTGGGTGCCTGCCCGGGTGTGCCCTCCAGGGCGTGTTCGTCCTAGGCAGATGCGGAGGGAGACCACGCTCAGGGGTAGCCCCACGGAAGCCTCCATTCCCTGAGTAATGAGTACATGTGCTATCTTAACGGCAGGTAGCGGTGTCTCCAGGGCAGACTGTGGCCTGAGTGGTTGTTCCTGTGGATGTGGACACAGGGCAGCGGGTCTCCCACTTGTAAGTGAATGGAGTTGTTTTCCAAGGCTGTGCCTATTCACCTCTGGAAACCATGATGCCTTAACTATAAAGAAATGCTTAATAAAAACAACATTCTCACTTCCCCTAGCACGTACTTTGGGAGACTCACAAAAATCCATTCATTCGTTTAAGAGAAGACGTTTTCCTTTCGTCACGTGGGCAGTGGGAGAGAAACTGGGCAGTGTGCAGGTGAGAAGTGAAGGTGCAGGCGTGTCTCAGCTCCGTCACCAGAAGCTGGGCGTTCGCAAGTGAAAGGTGCCCTGAGTCTCTGAGTCTGTGCAGCGTGGGCTCACATCCCCCAGCCTCGCGTCTCACGGAGCCCATCTATCAGCGGGGCCTGGGAAGGGGGCAGCTGGTTCGGACGGCGCTCCAGTAGCTCCTGCTCGGCAGCCTAGACATGGCCAGTGGACCGAGGGGACGGCGGCCTGAGGGTGCCTAGGGGAGCCCCGCAGCGGCAGCGCCCAGCATGCACGGGTGGTGTGCTGTCAGGAGGTCACAGTTTGGGGCTGAAATCGGTGGCGTTTGTCTCAGGGAAACGAAGCCTTTCAGTCCATCCTGACCGTCTGGCAGAGCTTGGTGTTACACGTTACGTGTCAGCCTTCACAAGGCCAAGCGGAAAGTTTAGTTCATAAACTCTGTGTGCATTTGCATTTTTACCAGCAGAGGCTACGAAAAATAACTCTGACAGAAACATTCAAAGAGGATCCCTATTCTTAGCTCTTCTATAGACTCCAACTCAAACATCTGCCTGCGTGCCTCCGAAATGTGCTTGGATGTGGTTAGTCAGATGCTCAGCTCTGAACGTCAGAACGAGGGCCTCGACGTGGACAGGCGGGTGCCGGTGCGCTGCGTCACACGCAGGTCCGTAGCCAGTGGGCTGTGTGCACGTGGATGGGCGGCCAGGTCCCCGGGCTCCCGAAGCTGCGTGGAGCTGGCAGGGTCCTCCTCCTGCTGCCAGAATTCGAGACTGGGGTGTCCGCTCTCCCTTACTCAGAGCGAGGCTACTTTAGCCAAAGAATGAATGTCTCTAAACCCTCCTGGATTTTCGTGTCTCAAGCAGACCGGGTCTCTGGGCTGTCAGCTTACCTTACCCCTCCACGCACAGCGGACTGACAGCCAGCCGAGTGAGAAGCCGGGCGCACCGTTTGTAGTCTGTAGTGGGATAAAGTACAGACTGTGGTCAGTGACCTCGGCACCCTAAGTAAACAGCATTCCTACTGAACAGGCACATCAGCTGCTGAAGCCACTCATCTCCGTAAACACTGGGACTCCCTGGGAGCGGTACCCAGACTGTCACTTGCAATCGCGGCTCTAGGCTGCTGACAGGATTATTTATGGTACCCCAGGGCCTCGGGCGTCCTGCGGCAGGAGTTAGGGGGGCTTTGGTGGGAGCAGGCGCCAGGCCCCGCATAGCTGCCCTTTGTACGTTTCCTCTCACAGTGGCCCCTGGGCTCCTCACAATAGCCTCAGTTTTGCTTCCCGGCAGCCGGGCCCCGTGTCACTTAACTTCCAGGGCTTGGGCAGGCTGAGTCCCCACTTGAGACGGTAACACAGAGCTTTCCCCATAAAGGTTCCAAAGACAGTGGGGCAGCGGCCGAGCCGCAGAGCAGAAAGCCTGGCAGAGTGACAGAGATCTGAGGGAGGCTGGTGTTCCTAGACATCCCCTGCGCTGTGCTGCCATGTTCGGGTAGGACTCTGCCTCAGAGCACACTGTGAGTAAGGGAACTCTTTAGGACGACGCTTACATCCCGGAAGTCGCAAAACTCTACTTAGAAATGGAAGAGTTCATGCTCTTAGCTGAAATCTGAGTGACTGCGTGACCGACAGAGGGAAACATGCACAGCACCTGAGACGAGCCACCAGCTCTCCCCTGAGCCTCACGCCCAGTGCGGAGAGGACACGGTGGCTTGGCCTCTGAGGAAAAGTGGCCTGACCGCTGGAAGCAGAGTCACAGGGTTCCTGGCTTTTCGCTCTTTGTAAGGTGCACTGCGACTTTTCAGGTGTGATTTTCCTACATAGATCACTCGTGGATGCAGTGGAGCGTGTGAGCTCAGGAAGTACTTGCACTTGCCACACCCCTCGAGACCCCCAGGGCCACTGTCCTCCACCCTGATGCCCACCTGGCGGTCTGGCCAACGTGCAGACTTCACTCAGCAGGTCTGGTGGGGCCTGAAAGTCCTGCTCCTCTGAGGAGCCCCCCCAGGACCACACCTGAGTGAGAAGGCCCTGCGGTTCCCTCCCGTCTGACCCGCCAGGATTCTGGGAATTGTCTAAGCCGGCCTAGAGAGCACAGAAGCGGCCCACGTTTGGCTCTGCAGCTCTTTGTGGGCTGAGAGAGGTGGAAACCATGTAAGTAGCCACTTGTCCAGCACACAGATCCGTCTCCAGGCCCAGGAACAGCTCTGATGGGTCCTGGTCCTGCCTCTCCTGGTCCTACCTGACTGGCAGCCTTGGTGGCGTGCGCTCAGTTACGTCAGCAAAGGAGGCAGTAGGTGTGGGCAGGGGGTCCTGGAGGAGGGTCTGCAGATATTACGAGCGGAGTCTGTGACAGGGCACACACAGTTTAAGTGTGTTGCCTCTTTCCTCACCCATGAGTGAAAGGATCAGAAGTAATGACCCCAAGGGTCACTTTCAAATTTAGAATCTATGATCCTGTTATTGTAAGGTGAGAATTAATTAAAATATATACACATTTAAACAAAAATGAGAAGGTTCTTTAGAAGAAGGTGAGTAATTCTCAAACAGGTGATTCCATTTCAGAGGAAGGAATGAGGGAGGTCACGTGTTCCAGGTCCCCGTGGCCTGGATGAGAGGGTGAGACAGAGGCACGGTGCCCTTGGGACACATGCCACTTGCCTGGGTCAGCAGGCTGCCTGCTGACCTGTTCCACTGTCCCCAGGACAGCTTTACCCGGGGCACCTCAGCTCCCTCCCAGCCTGCGATGCTTGGGGACATGCTGCGCAAGGAGTTCTGTATAGTAACCGCTGCCCACACAGAGAAGTGTCCGCTCCGTGTAAACGACAGGCGGTCTGGCCCGCTGCCCCTTGGGGTGGTCCCGACAGCAGCTGCTAAGACAACAGGCTCACCTGCACAACTTTCCTCCTGTGAGCCTTAAGTGAAAGGAAAGTTACCACTCTAAAAAAAGGAAAAAGGGTTTAGGGCCCTAAGCAGACGTGATTCGAGCTAATAAGTTACTTGTCATCATTGCATGTTCTGTGAAGAGCGCAAGGAACCACTTCAGGGGACGTGAAATACATTCTGTTGTGGATAAACCAGAAAGGTGCAGCCGAGAGCCAGACAGGGAAGGGCACCTGCGCTTCTGCAGTAGGGGTGAAGCCATGTGGAAGAGCAGGGTTTTGCAACAGCAATGGAATTCTTGGGTGATGAGGTCATAATTGCTGGTGAAACAAGAAGCCTCAGACCTGGGTGGTGGGGGTGGCCCACGACCCTCGGCACTTCGCACCCTGCGGCCCTTGTTTTAGCAACTGATTCTCCAGTTGGCTCCATTGTCGGAGTTGAGTAGATACAAGCCCAGGCATCAGGCCAGAATTCATAAACAAACGGAGACTGTGAATGGAAGGGTCCAGCCCATCCCAAGAGCTGATTAATTCCAGGGAATGTAAATAATGCTCAGTGTGGCACCAGCTGCTGCTGAATGGCGTTACCTTCAGTGATCTGGTCACCCAGCCCCTGCCCGCATAGCCTTCAGGGAGTGACTATTAGCAAATACGGGCGACAGAAGGCAGGGGCCTGTCAACTAACTGAGGGGCACAGAGTCGTGTCTGCCTCGCACTGGCATTTCCAAAGTCACTTACATGCGGGGATGGTGCAGTCTCGGGTGTTGTGGTAAAGCCTATGGAAGTGTTTGCTGCACTTCGGGCTGAAATACAGAGGACCTGGAACGTGGAAGAAGAAACAGACGGTGAGGGTTCATGGGATGCAAGGATCCAGGGAGGGCAAAGGAATGAGGAGAAAACTTACCTGTAAGATGTTTTAGAAACTTGTCTTTCATCCTTAGATCTCGAGGAACAATTTCTGTTTGAGGGGAAAGAAGTTAATTACTGTATTGCCTAAAAGCAGCATTTTTTTCATATGACCCGAAGTAAATGTCAAGAGTTACTGGAAGCTCTGCCCCAAACGCAGCCACCCCTCGAGTGCTTCCACACAGTGTGGAGGCCGGCAATCGGGCACGTATTCTTCAAGTGGTATTAACTTCTCACAGATCTCCAGTGCTATCGGCCGGTCTCTCCCAAGAGGATAGAGGTAGTGACCCTCAAGTTGTAGGAGGAGAGAGGTGTGCGAGCGGGTGTGTGTGTGTGTGTGTGTGTGTCAGTTAGCATCCAGTGAGTAAAAATCACTATTAGAAGTTTTCTTCTTAAAGAGCTTGGGAATCAAATAGCACAGTCTCTCAAGGTTCTAGAAGGACAATCTGATCTGATACTTCAAACAAAAAAATTGCTGTGGAACTTTACTTCTAGGAACACACTTAGAAAAAGAGAGGCCTCAAAACTGCTTGTTCTGAAGGCCGCTGTGAGTGCGTGGAAACAGACGCCATCCTGGCGAATGAGCTTTTTAAAAGCACAGTTCCTAGGGAGAGACTGGACCCAGCACAGCTCTTAGTTTGTATTGGAAACTAACGGTCCTTGACTGACATTCTGATTCCAGCCTTGCTTTTGCTTTTTCTGTCATCGGGATTCATTGTCACTCACCTGTTCTGCACTAGCAGCTTAGCGGTGATGGCATGTGGCCACATTTTACCACAAATTCACTTCATTTCCACCTGAATCTTACTTGCAAGGTTTAGACATCTCCTAAATGTCAGTCTTCATTTACAACTAACTTTAGTCAGTCTACATAAAATTGACCTTATCATATTTGACCTAATTGTGTCATGGAAGCATTAAAAGCTTGCATGCTTTCCTCAGAAATTTCCCAAGGGGCAGCCACTCTGGGAAGACTCTGCCATGGGAGGGGGCAGGGTGGGATCTGAAACATTTCTGTCTCAGTTGAAACTGCTTTGCTGAAAATATCTCCATTTCCAAAATAACAGATGAGAGTTCTATGCCAAAATTTCTGACCAAGGTAACAACTCACGTCTTAGACGTGGACGAGATACCTGTCACCTGCCAGGCTTCATTCATGGACTTCCTATTTCCTTCTTAAGAAAATATATTTCCTCGAAATGTATTCATATTTTAAAAGTATGTGCGTTTTCTCAAAAGCAATTTTATGTCCAAGCAAGTACTCTTTCTGCCAGCGTCTCCTGAGACATGACAGGCAAACACGCCGGAGGCTCCGTCTACACAGCACAGGAGAAGCCTTTGGCGGCGGTCCACTCCGTCTACACAGCCAGACGGTCAGAGGCACTCACCCACTTTCTGCTCCTCGGGGTCGGCCCCGTAGTCCGCGACCTCCCTGCGTCCCAGGGTGTAGTCCTGCCGGCCCGAGAGCTGCAGCCTCTTGGACTCCGCCGAGTGGTACT